AAGAGAACCCTCATACACTGCTGGTGGGAATGAAACTGATGCAGCCACTATGGAAAACAGTACGGAGATTCTTCAAAAAACAAAAAATAGAACTACCATATGAGCCAGCTATCCCACTACCAGGTATCTACCCCAACAATTTGAAATCAACAATCCAAAGTCCCACATGCACCCCTATGTTCACTGCAGCACTATTCACAATAGCCAAGACATGGAAGCAACCCAAGAGCCCATCGACCTGACTGGATAAAGATGTGGTGCATATACACAATGGAATACTACTCAGCCAGAAAAAAGACAAATTGATCCCATTTGCAATAACATGGATGGACCTTGAGGGAATTATGCTAATCGAAATAAGTGAAACTGAGAAAGACAAACACCAGATGATTTCACTCATATGTGGAATATAAACAAACACATGGACAAAGTTCAGTGGTTGCCAGGGGAAGGGCGTTGGGGGGTAGGGGATGGTGGGCACAGGGGGTGAAGGGGAGCACTTATGTGGTGACAGTCAAGAAATAACGTACAACTGAAATCTGACATTGATGTAAACTATTACCAACTCAACAAAAAAAATTTAAAAAGCGACGGCGCGGACCGTGTTCGCGGCACGGCGACGGGACGCACCAGCAAACGAAGCCACGTCAAACCGCGAGCGCAATTCCCGCACAGAAAGGGCTCTGGGCGCGTGGCGGCCCCGCAGCGCCTCCCCCGCACGGATCGCCGGCCGCTCTGCCGCCTCTCCCGTCCCGCCCTCCGCAGAGGCCGCAGCGCGGCGCCCGGCCTGGCTGCTCGACGGCCGAGGGCAGCGGCCGAGCACAGGGCTCCCGTCCAGGGCCGCCTCGCCGCGGGAGCCGCGAGGCCACAGCCGCAGGGAGCAGCGCCGGCCGCGCCGGGCCAGCCCAGGCCTCTGCGAGGCGCGTCCGCACAGCCCGCGGGGGGCAGCGCGAAGGGCAGCGTCCGGACGCCCGCTCGGGGGCCGGGGCCGGCGCGGGCAGCGGGCTCGGGCAGAGGCAGAGCCGGCCGCGGCCCCGCGGGGCTCAGGCCCCCTCCCCGGGCACGCCGAGCGCCGCGCGTCGCCGCCACCCGCCGCCCGCCGGGCCCCTCAGCGCCTCACTCCTGCGCCCTCGCGCCTGCGGCGCCAGCGCCGCGCCTCGAGGCGCCGGAGGGCGGGTGCGGGGGCGCGCGGCGGGCGGCGGGCGCGGGCGCATGCGCGGAGTCGCGCGGCGGGGCGGGACGGTGGGCGCGCTCGGGCGCGCGCCGCCTCAGCCCGCGGCTCCGCCCGCGCAGCCACCTCCCTCAGCCCGGCGTGCCGGCTTCCGAGCGGACCGGAGCGGCGCGGGGCCCGCGGGGTGGAGGCCGCCAGCCCGGGAGCGCGTCCCGCAGCCTGACGGGCCCGGTAAGCGCGGGCGGGGCGGCGGGGCCCCGGCGGGCACCCCGGGGGGCCGGCCTGCGGGCAGCGGACAGCGCTCCGGGGGCTCTCAGGCGTGGGGTGGCGCCGCCCCCAGGGGTCGGTGTGCGAGCGGAGGAACCCCGAGGGTCCCCGCCTCTGACCCGGAGAGTCCCGGAGGCGGGAGCGGCCGGCCCCGGCAGACCCCGTGTGAGCGGACACTCTCGGGGCGCCCGCTCCCCGCGCTGGCGGAGGCCGAGCGGGCAGCGCCCGGTCCCTGGAGAGGCCGTCGGAGCCCCTCCGGGAGGCGGCGCGTCTCGGGGCGGGCTGGGTGGACAGCCGCTCGGGAGCAGAGGGCAGCCGCGGGCGCCTGCGTGGGGGAGACCGTGCCCTGGGGCCGCCGGGAGGGAAGCTCTGCCCGGAGGAGAGGACCCTGCCCTGGGGTCCGGCCGGGAGTAGCTTCCCAGCGCCCGGAGGACTTGCTTGGCCTTGACCTCTCTCGGGGCTCAGCGCGCCCTGACCGCGTCCCTCCAGCGTGGTCGAGAGGCGGCGGCCCTGTGGGCTGCTGCCCTTGTGCGTCGCCCCCTCTGTTGGGATGCTGATCCTCCGTGGTGGCCCGTTGGCCCCAAGCTGGGTTTCAGCGGAGGCAGGAGCTGGCGTGAGAGCCCAGCGCACGGGGAGGCCCATGAGGCCTCTGAGGGAGGGAAGGAGGCTGAGCCCGGGCCTGACCTTCCGGAGGACGGCGGCGAGAGCAGGCGGAGTAGTGACGGGCAGGTCCTGTCGGGAAAGTCCTCGGGAGCAGGGAAGGGTAGGTAGGGTGACTGCGCGCGGTGGGCCGGGTCCCGTGCCGGGGTGTGGAACATCTCATGCCATCCTCACAGCAGCCTCAGGACTTTATCCCCTTTTGAACATCAGGCTTGAGACTCTGAGAGGTTTAGCAGCCTGGAGCCATGAAATCTGTGTTTGGAAATTTTGGGGGGAAAAATTGTCAAGGAGAGGCAGAAGCAGGAGTGTACGTTTGTTAATAAGTCGCACTGAGATCCCAAGCACAGGGCTTTGCAATAGTATGTGCTGAGGAAATGTGGTGATTAAATAGGCGGATGAGGACAGTTTAGGGACGAAACTGCTGCAGGAACTGGTTTCCACTGAATCCCCCGATTTCGGAGTGTGGCTTCCTCCACTGGCAGCCCCACTGTGACGATGCCTCCGGGTGGCTCTGGACTTAACTGGGCCTGGGAGAGGCCTCTGGGTGTTCTCTCTGACAGGACGTGCTCTGGAGAACTGAAGGGACCCTTGAGAGGATGGGGTGTTCTGAGACAGAATCCGTGAGAAAGAGGAAGGAGACACAGGGTCACTGAGGAAGCAAGACGCACAGTGTCTTTGTGGCGGTCTGACTATGTGCACCAGCAGACACTGGTCCACAGACACCACCCAGGACGCTTTTGCCCAGCAGTGCTTCTGAACGAGGAGGAGGAGAGCGGGAAAGGTGCGGAGCCAAGGAAGGCTTATTGGGAGTCTGTTGTCTGGGGAGCACAAAGGTGTGCGCCTGACACAGTGATGCACCCTCATCTCGTCCCCTCAGCTGTGGTAACCCTTCATTCCACCCCATTCCCATGGGCACAAATTGGGGCCCAAGGATAGACTCTGGTTTCTTGTCCAAAAATGGAGTGGTGAGGGAGCTAAGCGATGAAATTCACCACAGAGCCATTCTGGGAGAGCTTCCCTGTTCCCCTGCCTCCCTTCCACACTGCCAAACCTAGTGACATCCTCCGTTAGTAGAAGTGGCTTCCTTGGGCTCCTGGGCTTACACAGAAGAGAGATCAGGCTGGTGAGAAAACACAAGAACCTGCTTTACCACTTGCTAGCTCTTCTTTTTAACTCCATGGCGGCCTGAAGCATGCGTGTGGCACCTCATGCACAGCACAGTGGAGTAAATTCCGAGAAGGTGTAAATAGGTTAAGCACCTCCCTATTACAGAGCTGTTTATAGTCCCCTTTCAGTTCAAACTCCTCTCATCAGCCTAACACACTAACATAAACAGGGATATATATATATGTATTTTTTTTTTTTAAAGAAAACCAGAAGGAGTAAGGCTGCAAATATGATCTTTGCTGCAATTCAGAGATTTGCCATTGGGATTTTATTCCTAAACTGGTCTTTTCACTGAGGGCTCTTGGTGTCACACCCACTCGTGACCCTGGAAAAACTGCTAGATGGCTCCAGGTGCTCCCTAAATATTAGACCTTGGATATCGCCTCCTTGATGTCTAGCATTGGGTAAACATTAAGATTACAAAAATCCTAAGAATATTAACTCTCCCCTAATCACAATATAAGTGCAAATCAAATCACTCAGGATGGATGTGAAGGATGTCACCAGGTGGCCTTAATCTCCTCAAAACAACAACGACACTCCCTCCAAAGGGAGATAAAAGGGCAGAGATGGCTCACCTAGTTTCACTAGAGTATACAAAAATGTGTGTGGGTTTTTCAGCCTTTAATCTTCCACATCTTCTCTGACCATGTTCTTAGGCTTTTCTTCCCCCTGCTTTTGCCGTGTTTTTGACAGTGGTTCCTTTTCCTGGAACATAAATGGTAGGACCTTCCCTGGCCCATTTGCCACACTCCCTGTATTTTTTTCCAGTACACCTGTTCCTAAGAGGATCATATTTATGCAAATAGTTTCCTTTCTCTTTAGCTGCAGAATCTGTTATCTTCCACCCCCTATGCTCTTCTCCAGCAGAGCTCTTGGTTTCTGCTATCTTCATTTCCCAAAGTGACTTACTCTTTTCTCATGGGGATATCATTATCCACTCCACCCCTCAATCTTAATGACCAACTTCTGACACGACTTGCTTACCAGCTTTGGGCCAAGAAACCAAGACATCAGTGTCCGGCTGGAGACGTGGTTATTTTTTCCATTTTAACATCGCCCTCAATCCTTCCTCCCTTTTTGGCAGTCGCCTCAGGGACCCACATACGTTTACTAAGTGCTGCCTACTTGCCAGGTGCTATGCTAGGTAAATATGAGGGCCCTTGCCCTTGAGGAGTTCACATAGAATCAGTCTGCATTTCTCTAATCATTTACTATAAAGAGTAAGAAAAGAAAGGGGAAAACTACAGCTTTACAGAGTATCTACAGGGATCAGTGTAGAGTGTGCCTCTTTCCAGGCATCACTGAAACGCAACTGCTGTCCTGTGCTGCTTCGGGCAGCCACATTCTCAGTCCCCCTGCCGTTGCCCTGCCAAAATTGTTTTTGCCCATATGCTTCGAGTGAACTGGCCACACTCCTGGCTTCCTATGATAGTAATAACAGTACCTTATATTTGGATGTCACGTGACAGTGTAGAAAGTCCTTTTACATACGTGATCTCTATTTAGTTTTGAGAAATGTTTCATCTTACTGGGGTCTTCTCACTAAAACAACAGTGTGTAGGTTGGCTTGGCACTCTCACCGCCACAGCCCGGATTAGCTTCCGGTCAGGGAACCACACCCCTTGTCTGTAGGTTGTCATACTTGGGAGGCTGTGTGTTATTGTGATGCTGAAAGCTATGCCACTGGGATTTCCGATGCCAGCAGGGTCACTCACTGTGGGCAGGTTTCAGCAGAGCTTCCAGATTAAGACAGACTAGGAAGAAGGACTGGGTCAGCCACCTCCAAAAGACTTGGCCATGAAAACCCTGTGAATAGCAGCAGTAGCGGAAGGTGAGAGGATGGTGCACAAATCCAGGCAGGGTTCCGCTCTGCTGTCCACAGGGTTGCTAGGAGTCAGAATCCTCTGGAGGGCACTAAACAGAATCAGGTTTACGGGTCTCCCAGGGGAAAGCCCCAGGGATCCACTACAGTCACCACCTCCCAGCTCTTAGGCTGTGGAGGGGCGTTTCCTGTTGGTCCAAAGGCCAAGCAGTGTACTTGCTGGTCAGCCCTCGGACTTCTCAGGGCTGTCCTGCTACCTGGCCTCAGAAAATCCAATTCTCTGGGGGTTCTCCCCTCCCCCGAAATCCAAATACATATTCCCTTCTAAACAAATATTTTTAGCATCCATCTCACACTGATTCCTTGGGCTGATTCTTATGTGAAAACAGGTTTCCCTGCCTGTTTCTACCCAACACCCGGCTGGCTTCATACTCCCTAAGCCACGACGGAGTCCCCAGAAGGCTCGATGCCTTGGCATGTGCTTTTACCTCTGCCTGGATGCCTTTTTTTTTCCTTATCCACTGGGGTAACTCCCACTCATATTTCAAAATTTAGCTCAAGCAACACCTTTTTTTTTTTAATCCTACACTTATGCCCCCTACGCATACACATACTCACACTGCATTCTCACAGGCTGAGTGAGGTTCCGTTTGTTCATTCTACCAGCAGTTATTCAGTGCCTGATTTGTGCCTTTACACAGTAGCCCGCATTCAGCAAATATTTGTACAATCAACAAACAAGTCAAGTCGAGACGGTTACAGTGTAATAGCTGCATCAAATGGGACTGAATCGGCGCTTCCGGGGCCCAGAGCAGAGAACAGGGGCGCTTCTCCATCTTGCTGAAAAGCTCTGCTTGCTCAGTGCGATCACACCAGCTGATCACTGGTGGTGTGATGTTCCTTAACCATCGCTCTGCTTCTGTGGGAAGTCGGCGCTGTAGCTTTTCATGAAGACTCATCCCAGGGCCTCTGAGGCTAAAGATCAGACCATAGTTTTGTCTTCATGTAGATTTGAGCTTCGTGAGCTTCCAGGAAATATTAAACAACAGCAGCACCTTCCTCACGCCTCAATCTCTTGAGCTGACTCCGGGAAGACGGTTTTCCTCAGTCTTTAGTAGCCCTTCTGCTCCTTGGAAACCCCAGAAGAGCTCTGTGCAGTTGGGGTGACTATGTCTTTCTGGGCTGACAGAAGCCGGTGCTGCTGTGCTGGATAAATGGGAGAATGGAGGAAGACAGGGAGGCACCAGGTAGACCCCTTCAGGGTCTGTAGACATAAAAGCGAAAAGGAGTCTGTGGGCTACGGCCAGACAACGGAACTGACGGGGAACAGGCTCCACGAGCACTGCGGTGTGGAACTGGAGTCTTGAAGGACACCCAGGCCCTGGAGAACAGCTAGACCATTTCCGGCTTGAATTTCTCAAAGACCAGCAGAGGGTAAGGAGTCTCTTTTTGAGGGTTTTTGTTTCAAGTCTCGAAATGGATGTTGATGGGCGCAGTGAGCTTAGGGTCTATGCTGTGCATTCTGCATTTTTTACACCCTGGTTCTGCTGGTTTTCCATACGCTTGTGGCCGGTCACCTTCATTAGGTATGTGGCTTTCCCTGAGGCTCTCAGACAGTCTTTCAGGCAGGTGCCTCGTGGAGCCAATTGTCAACCACCTTGAAATTTTTCACCCTTATGTGCAGATGCTGCTTGTGCTCAGTTTCTCCAGCCCAATCCCAGGAGGGAGGAGACATTTTCAAGCTTCCTACACATGCCCTTGGGGCAGCCGCCCTCCTGTGGGCCAGGCCGCAGTGCCCCAGGACATATCAAAAATGCACGGGACGTTGACTTTGGTAACATTAGTCTCTCTTTTCTTATCATTGTGGTTGTGGAAACTGGCTAAATTCCAGAATTCTGTAGCTCTCCCCTGTGGTCACAGAAATCACCTGTAGCTGCTGTGTGCTTACCTGTTCTAGCCCCTGCTGGCCCTGAATTACCAGTCAGTGTCCACCTCAGGGAAGCAGAGTAGATGTGATGAGATGAGCTGGTGACTGTGTAGTTTCTAGAAATGAATTCTGAAGATTTGGTCCGATCAGTCCCTGGCCAACTTTGAGGAAGAAAGAGTACTGAAACCACGGCCTCAAATAAACCTTTTATGTTGCCCAGTCACTCTGCAACATTCATTCAACAAAGGTTTATAGAACACATGCTGTGTGGGAGGCAGTGGGAACCATCTAGATTTTTCTTCCTCTTGATCTCAGTGAAATTCCTTTTTCCACCTGCCCAACCCACTCTCCGGTTGTTTTCCTCTGTCCCCCAACTTGGAGGTTTTCTTTGCCTTGTTCCTGCCTAGGGAAGCCCTCATAACCTCCAAGCAATCACTTTCAGTTGCTTTGGAGCCTTTTTGAAACAGCTGCCATTCGCACATCAAGAATCAGATGAAAGCAAGTAAATGTACTTTACCTTTAGCATGCCGAATGAGGAGACTCCTGCCTATTAGGAGGGGTGCCCCCGTGCTCGTCGCAGCTGTGAATCTTTATAGAGAGCTTGGGAAGAGGTTCCCTAGCCACCTTCCCACTTCCTTATTTCTCCAGCAACTGCTGCTGTGGAGCAACCCCCCTCCCCTTACTCCCACAGCTTTGCCCTTATAATAATCGCACTGCGTTGTGAGCATGTTCTCTGCAGAGAATGGGTGTGTCTTCCACACACACATTCCAGGCTGGCCACATATGTCGTTCTGCCTGACAAACACATCTAGACAGGCTTCTCTTACCCGAAGAAAGATTCAGGCTGTCATCTTTTCATTTCCTCCAGATCATATAGTCACATGGCCCTATTCTACCTGCTTGTCCCTCTGTTATTCACCACCACCTGCTCCTGCCCTCTGAGGGTTTTTTCCAAGTTTTCCCTAGATGCCACAAATTCTCTGACAGTCACATCATTCTTGGGACAATGTCTTTTTATCCCTCCTTCATCCTTGTTAGAGAGGGAGAAAACCCCAATTCCACCCACCAGCCAAAGAAGTAGTCGTTAGGTATTGTTTGTGGGATCTTTGCATCTTGATTTCCTTTTAACTCACTCTTCTTCCTGGGAATTCTCCCAGCACAGGAGAGGCCAGGTTTTTCTCACCAGGCACTTGTTTTTACCCATGGCTAATCACTACCACTTGTTTCTCTAGAAATTAGAGCTGGTTTTGTTACTTTCTCAAACACCCCAGGTGCACATTCTGGATATTTCAGCACACTTGCTTTTAATCAAGCTGTCTTTTGTATCCAGGTTTGATCCTCTCCATTGAGCATTAATGGTTTTAGCCTTACTCTTGAAGGCTAATTCTGTTGTGTCCTCACAGTTTATCTCAAAATTAAAGCCATGTTGATTTAAAATGACTTGGGGTCTTCTTCGGATTTTGATAGTTTCTTTTTAATGGTTCTTCTCTACATTTTCTGCCCTTATGGGCATAAAGTGCTCCAGAAAATTGAACCATCTCAAGTAAAAGGAATAGCAATACTCCAAGATCCTGCAGTCAGGACTGGAAAGTGGTTTTATTTGTTTGTGTTTCTTTGTTTTGCTGGTGGATGTCATCTTCAGTCTTCACTGAACTTCCTTTAAAGATAAACTCCCAAAACCGTTGCAGTGACACGACTAACAACTGAGATAGCTTAACAGTGATTCTTGTTATCCTTGCAGAGACTAATGGTTGTGGCAGGACTACAGTGTGTTTTGGGATGCCTATGGTTACTTTGCTGATACACTACTAATGAGTCAGTTCCCTTACAGAGTAACCCTCCTAATTGACTGGCCTTTGTTCAGGACTCTTACTCCATCATCTGAAAAAAACAGTAAGAACCAAATGCATACCGTTGATTTTCCCTCAATGAATCTTTCTTGAAAAAGTGAATTTCGTATGGTTATTCCAGGTCTCCAAATAAGTGTTCCTCAACTTTTTTTTCCAACCCATGCCTCCTTGCTGATAAACGCAGATGTCTTATGATTGCTCCCTAAAACTTCTAATACAAATTCTGGGATAGGAGTGCCCCACCTATTTGGAGAGCTAGCACATTCTGTATATCTCTAGGAACCAGGAGAATACTATCAAGCTATGCTGTTTTGTAGTCTGTGTTACCAAAACAAAGGTGATGGCTTTTGATATTTGCTTTCCAAATGTAAATATGTATCATAATTGATATGCTTTTCCAATCTACTACTTCTCTCCTCCTGGAGTTCTGACACATACCCCGACTTGCCCCAGGATCCACCTGATGAGAATTATTGCTCTGATCTTTGTGGTCCTATTGGACTAAAAGTTTTTTTTTATTTTTATTTTTATAGCATGAATGTATCACTAGTTATTCAATAATTCTACTTTTTGGGGGGGGATTATTTCTACCTTTTATCACTGTAAAAGAATGCTCCACTAAATATTTTCTTACATATGCCCACAGGTCAAAGAGGATCAGCCTCTCGTATAGAGAAAGGTATATTAGTAGCTGTCCATCTCTGCTAGACCTTCCAACCACACAGACTCTAAGAGAAGCTTGAGAATTCTGTTCTTGCATCACTCCAGTCAAGGAGAAAGCTTACCTTATACCCCACAATGCTGTCCTTGTCTTTTAGAGGTAACCATCTTTAAGTCAAAAGACAAAATGCAGTTCTCTAACCAAAAATGTAAAATGATCCTAAGCCTGTGTTTTTCAAATTGCAGGTCCAGACCCACTAGAAAGTCCTGAAATCATTTGAGAGCGTCACTGTCAGGACTGTTCTAATGAAACAGGAGAGAGAGGATAGGAAATACCAGGGAGCATCACTTGTAGTAAAAGTAGAATTGTTTCCCAAAACATTGGGTTCAGTTATAGATCTATGAACACATATTTATAGCTGTGTGTACAGGGTCACACTGTAAACTCTATTTCTTACTATGGGTCACAGTCAAAAACTTTGAAAAACGTACTATGGAAGGTTTCTGAGGAAAACGCTGTGGCCTTGGAAATAGTAATTGATCGTGAGGAAGGTGGGCAATGAAGCATTGTGTGTCGGGTTTGCGTTCTCCCTCTTGGTGTGCCGGTTCTTCTCACTGTTAAGTTGTGGACTTGTTTTCCCACCTAACCATAGAGCACAGCTGGTGCTCTGGAGGCATGTGGGCAGCCTCTGGGGACTACAGGCCCAGCCTCTTCAAGAACTCCCGGGTCCACAGCCTCAGCAAAAGCTCTAGGGGTGTCCTCTCTACCCCGAGCCCCACCCCGACCCAGGCTGCATACCCTCATTAGGTCACATGGACTTTTAAAAGAATATGAAAAGAGCATTCTAAATGAGCATTCTGAATGCTTAGACTACATGCTCCAGGCACACTCATTAACACATAGGGAACTGACACCCAAAGTGGCAAAGCAACATGTTCCAGGTCACAGCAGATCCAGAACTAAAGCAAGTCACCAGGTTGCCAACCCTAGGATTTTTAATTATGTAATTAATGTGCAATGTAAAAAAGTTAGAAAATAAAGGTCAACAAAAAGATGGAAAAAATATACATGCATTCTTTCTTACAAAAATTAGGTCATAACATGAGCATTTTTGTGACTTGCTTTCTTCATTTACATGTTCATATATTTTGAACATCTTTCCACATCAATAAATAGACTTCTACCTCCGTGTTTTTCATATTGTTTGGTCTTCTATTGTACCATAATTTAACCATTCCCCCTTGTCCAATATTTGTTTGCAATCAGGGATAAAAATGACTATTTAATCACAATTTATTATTAATTGTCCACTGGGGTATAAATACCGTAAACAGTTTCCTGAATTTGATCAATAAACCTTTCCTCAATAAATCTCCTTTGCTACCACTCCTTAAAGTTACTTATTCAAAGTAAATATTCCTTAGTCATATACTTTAATTTTACAAATGAGGAGAGGAGATCTTTCTTTTCTTATAGTCATTTTTTAAACTCAAAAATATGGATTGGGTTTCTTTGGCAACAATTGATGGCAGGGCATGCACCCAGGCGGTGTAGGAATTTGCACCACAGTAGTGCATACAGGAGTTGTTTCTGGAAAGAAGATGTGACTGTCATCAGATATTATGTGTATTAAGGCTTTATTAAAAAATCAAAAAGACTACTTCACAATTAATTGGGAAATGTTTGTTAAGTGCCTGTTCTCTTCCAGACACAGTGCTAGGCAGTGGAGACAGGCACTGTGCAGGGTAAAAACGATCTCATAGAGGAAACTGACATTGATCAGATAATCATCCTATCGAATATGTAATAACGAAGGTAAATGCGCTGAGCAGAAGAGCCAAGTTGGACTGGGACGTCAGCAGTGACTTCCCCAAGGACCCAGTCCTTGAGCTGAGCTCTGACAGATGAATAGGCACTAATCCGGTGGGAAGGAATGTTCAGAGGTCCCCCAAATAGTGGGAGCAGGGCACACAAAGACTGAAAGAAGGCCAGAGTGGTTGGAACAGAGCAAAAAGGAGGGAGCCCAGGCCAACAGGGTGTGACAGGCTGCGGTAAACAGGCTGATGTGGAGGGCTTTATCCTGAAAGCTTAGAAAGCCTTTGAAAAGTTTTAAGCAGGGGAAAACAGAATGCCTGAACGTCCCAGGGACATCTTTAATTCAACATGTGCAAAACCCGGTTTCATTGTCCCTCTTTCTTATTTCCCAATTTCTGTAAACGGCATTACCATTCTTCTAGTTAGTCGACTTAAAACTGCCCTCTCGATAAGTGAGAGAAAGACTGAATGAAATACCGTATGATTTCACTTATGTGTGGAATCTAAAAACATCGAACTTACAGAAACAGAGTTAGTATGATGGTTCCCAGGGGCTGAGGGGTGGGGAAAGTGGGGAGATGTTGGTCAGAGGGTACAAACGGTCAGTTATAAGATGAATACATTCTGGGGATCTAAGGTACAGCATGGTGACCATAGTTAGCAATACGGTACTGTATACTTGAAAGTTGCTATGACAACAGGGCTTTAATGTTCTCACCATAACAACAACAACAAAATGGTAATTATGTAAGGTGAGGGATGTGCTAACTAACCTTATTGTGTAAGCATTTCGTAATATATATGTGTATCAAATCTTCACATTGTACACCATAAACTTATACAATGTTAGATGTCAGTTATAACGCTGGGAAATAAATACAGTCGTATGTCACTTAACAACAGGTACACGTTCTGAAAAATGCATCATTAGGCAATTTTGTCATTGTGCAAACATCATAGAGTATACTTATACAAACCTAGGTGGTATAGCCTACTACAAACCTAGAGTATATGGCACTAATCATGTGGGACAACCATGATATATGCAGTCCATTGTTGACTGAAATGTCTTTATGCAGCAAATGACTATAAATATAAAACTGTCCTCTCTCCCTTTCCCTTGGTACAATCAGTTATCAATTTGTTCCTAAATTTCTCTAATTCTATTTCCATGGTATCGAATAGACTCAGTATCATTCCTGCTGCCATCATTTCAGTTCAAACCCTCTACCTCTTGGCTGGAATATTATAGTAGCCTTCTAATTGGCCCTAACCTCTCCTCCTACCCTCTGTCACCTTTTCCCCCAAACAAAGGATAACTTCCAACTTGTCCTTCACGGTCCACTTTGACTCCCAGTAGTGTGGTGTCACTTCCTTTAGGCACCTCCAGCACTTTGTCCTACTATTCTCTGAGTTCTGACATTACATAGCTCGAGTGATGAGACTCTGTCCTCCTGGCTTCTATTTCCTATGATGAGTAGTCAGTGCCTTGCACATAGTGCTGTTCAATAAGCCTTGATTATAATGGATTGAGAGCAAAGCTAAAATGAACTCTCTGCTCCACTTTACTTTAGAACAAGTATTCTCAGCTGAATTCCACCAAGACCCTTCAGCTAGGAAATAGCAGACCAGCGTTGCAATGTGCCCTGTCATGCCCTCCCTTTCCAATGTTGTGCCTTGGTACTGCAAAGGAAGTGCAGGGATAATGTTACTTTTTAACCTGTAAAGGATATGGACTTTTCTTGAGCAGTTGAAAAAGAAAGCAGAAAATGTGGAAGTGACATTAGCGAAGCCTTAGAAGTGTGAGAAGCACTTCAGAGCTTGTAATGGGCCAGTTGTCTGTGATAGACAGACCCATGAAGAGGCATAGCTACTATTTAGAGGGGGCAAAGAAATGTTTTTGATCTTGTCCACATGGATAGGGTGGTAGAGTTTCCTGACTGCCTAATTCAGGAGTCCTCTAAAAATAGCAGTTCATTCACTCTGACTCAAAAAGTAGGTTTTGGAGTTTTTTGTATTTTGTGTGTGTGTGTGTGTGTGTGTGTGTGTGTGTGAGTGTGAGGAAGATTGTCGCTGAGCTAACATCTGTGCCAATCTTCCTCTATTTTATGTGGGACACTGCCACAGCATGTCTTGACACGCAGTGCTAGGTCCGTGCCCAGCATCTAAACCCATGAATCCCAGGCTGCCGAAGCAAAGCACACGAACTTAACCACTATGCCACCAGCCCAGCCCCTCAAAAACTAGGTATTTGAGAACCAGCCCCAATGGTCTAAAAGTTAAAGTTCAGCATTCTCCCCACTTTGACAATGCAGGTTCACTTCCTGGTCACAGAACCACACCACCTGTCTGTCAGTTGCCGTGCTGTGGTGGCAGCTCACATAGAAGAACTAGAAGGACTTACAACTATGATATACAGCCATGCACTGGGGTTTTGGGGAGGGAAAAAAAAAGAGGAAGATTGGCAACAGATGTTAGCTCAGGTTGAATCCTTCCCTGCAAAAAAAAAAAAAGTAGGTATTTGATATGGGTTATCCCTGGATGGATTGTGCACAGCACTTACTGGAGGAGCTTTCCTTCAATCAGAAGTCTGAAATGTGTTGCTGCAGTCTTGCTTTAAGCCTTGGGTCATCTTTTGGGGCAGAGGAGAGACTTGGGCACTGAAGTCTCCAGCTATCTCAAAGTGGTAGAGGCCTGGACCCCTGGACTAATTGACTTTAGGACAGGAAAGAAGACAGAGATACCATTTCACATTGTAGAGTGCTTTCCAGTTTACTAAGCACTATCAAGCCCATTTTCTAATGTTATCTTCATGACAGCCCTGTGAAGTACGCTGGGCAGATAGCCCTCATTTCATAGATGGGAAAATCAAAGTTACAGGGCCAGTCAAAAGTAGAATCAAGGTCTTCTGACTCCTTAACAAGTGCTCTTTCTGCCATGCTACTGAGTTGCAGAAGAGGGAGCAACTATTTAATATTTAATAGCACTTACCACTTAGGTGAATGGTTGAAACTGATTGGCCCAGTATGCTCCACAATTGGCTGAGTCTGGGCCCCCCTGCTTTTTGTCCACAGAGCCATGGGGGTGTTGATGTCCAAGCGGCAGACAGTGGAGCAGGTGCAGAAGGTGAGCCTGGCTGTGTCTGCCTTCAAGGATGGGCTGCGAGACAGGTCTTCCATCCGACACACAGGTGAGCTTCCAGGGTCCCGCTGTGGCACTGTAGAGGGCTCCGTCCAGGAGGTACAGGAGGAGAAAGAAGCAGAGGCAAGCACCCCAGTGCTCCAAGAAGAGAGCAGTGTCAACCGTGCTGCCTGGGAGAGGCTCCGAGATGGGCGTGGAGTGGAGCCTGAGGAGTTTGACAGGACCAGTCGTTTCACACCCCCTGCCTTCATCCGCCCCACCCGGAAGCTGGATGATGACAAGCCTCCAGAGATCCACTTGGAGCCCAGAGAGCCTGTGAGTGTCCAGTTACGGCAGAATCCTCAAGTCTTAGACGTTATGATCAGGGAGCAGAACAGGGAGTTCTGGGTATTGTTGAAGTGAGACTCAAAATCAGAAAGATGGAACTGAGTCCAGAACAATCTTTGAATTTGAATTACTTTTTTTTTTAATGATTAGCACCTGAGCTAACAACTGTTGCCAATCTTTTTTTTTTCCTGCTTTTTCTCCCCAAATCCCCCCAGTACATAGTTGCATATTTTTAATTGTGGGTCCTTCTGCTTGTGGCACGTGGGATGCCACCTCACTGTGGCCTGACGAGCAGTACCACAACCGCACCCAAGATCCGAACCAGCAAAACCCTGGGCTGCCGAAGCCAAAGTGGAGCGCGCGAACTTAACCACTCGGCCATGGGGCCGGCCCCATCCTGGATTAGTCTTAGTGAAAGACTTGAGGCAGTGGGTGATAGGGAATGACACCAGGGCGGGTCTTCTGCCAACCCACCCACACAGGGGATAGTACTACCCCTGTAGGAGGCATTTGGAAATTTGAAGGGGCATGGAGTTAGTGAAGGTCACAATAACCAGGAGTTGCTACTGGTATTTGGTGCCAAGAAAACCAGGATGCTAAATGTCCTTCAGGGTATGGAACAGTCTCTCACAACAGATTATTCTTTCCAAAAAGGCTAGTAGCATCCCTGTTCAAAAACATGGTCACAGAGGCCTGAGCAGCTGGAAGAGCGTACTGGTTCTTGTCCTCCAGAGAGAAAGCTCTATTGCCTTAACACTGGCTTCAATTGGAGCTCTTCCTCTAGGCTGCCCCAGGGAGATCCAGGCCTATGTTGGTAGCTCTGTACTCAGTGGCCATAGGATCTTGCTGCCCGTGCTTACACATCCCTGTTCGTTCCTGCCATCTTTCCCCAGGTTGTCAACGATGAGATGTGTGATGTCTGTGAGGTCTGGACGGCCGAGAGCCTCTTCCCATGCAGGGTCTGCACCAGGGTTTTCCACGATGGCTGCCTGCGCCGCATGGGCTACATCCAGGGAGACAGTGCAGCGGAGGTGACCGAGATGGCCCGCACGGAAACAGGCTGGAGCTGCCACTACTGTGTGAGCCTGCACTGCAGGGATGGCGGGCTGCTGCACCATGGGGGACTTGGTGCCTTTCCTGGAGGCCCAATTGTAGAACACTGGTTTCTGGGCAGTGACCTAAAGAGTTTTCCAGTAGTAGATACAAGTCCTAGGGCTAGGACAGGCTTTCTCTATCTCAGTACTATTGACATTTGGGGCACAATAATTCTTTGTTGTGGGGGCTGTATGCATTGTAGGATGTTTAGCAGTATCCCTGGCCTTTTCCCTACTAGATGCCAGTAGCACCCTTCCCTGGTTGTGACAACCAAAAATGTCTCCAGACACAGCCAAATGTGTCCTAGGGGAGCAAAGTCATCCCCAGTTGAGAACCACTGAGCTAGAGGACTGAATGGATAAGATGAGGCCAATTATTCAAAAGTAATTCTGCTTGGAGCAGTGCTTTCTCTAATAATTAGTATCTAGTCGTCATTCATTGTACTCATCTGAAAAACCAATCTGACATCCTAATCAGCTTGCTTCCAACAGGGGTAGATTCTGTCACAGGAAAACTGCTTGGTCCTGACATCCTCACTGGGCCTACCACCTGACTCTTAGGAGCATTTGTTTTTCATCTCTGAAGTGATGACTTTGTGAATTAAATAGAGGTCAGTTGATTCAGAACTTTGCAAATTATATATAAATGCTTTCCAATTTTTTTTTTAAGTTTGGCGCCTGAGCTAACAGCTGTTGCCAATCTTCTTTTTTTTTTCTCCCCAAAGCCACCCAGTACATAGTTGTGTATTCTAGTGGTAAGTGCCTCTGGTTGTGCTGTGTGGGACACCACAGCATGGCCTGAGGAATGGTGCCATGTCTGCGCCCAGGATCCGAACCAGCGAAGCCCTGGGCCACCAAAGCGGAGTGCACAAACTTAACCATTGGCCATGGGGCCAGCCTCCAAAATGCCTTCCAACTTTTAGTAGAAGACAGAAAGCCAGATTCATGTCCATTTCTCAGCGTTCCTGAATAGAGTTCAAGTCTTGCTTTATTGATCTGTTGTCCTGCAAATATCTTGATTATTCACTGATTTCAGACTAAAGAGCATCTGCTGATCCCCTCATCTTCCTACTGCCTAGAAGAAAGCAAAGATATGCCACTTTCTAACAAATAACACTTTATCTATGGCTTGTCCATAAGAAGAAGTAGAGAACAGTTATTTCTAGCCACTTAAACACCATTTCCCCAGCTAGAGTATGCCACAACACACCCTGCTCTCCCGAGCTTCTTCTCTGGTCACCACCCCTCCAAATGCCAGCCTTTTCATTTACTGCAACTCTGCTTTGCAGTGTTGTGCTTTACAGTGTTCTGCTGATGTGGGAGTGGGTTGAAGGTGTCTCCTTCTTAACCCCCAGGAATACACAGCTCCCTTCTTGGCTTTCTGTCACGGTCCTACCATCTTTAACACCACTCTGTACCTGATATTTTACAAAGGCTTCTTCTAAGCTCCTCCCCTTTCTTTCCTTCCCTTCACAGCCAGGTTTCTTGAAAGGACTTCATCATCTCCTTGTGGCTTCTCAACCCCCTGTAATTTGACATCTGCATCCATCCTTCTGCTAAACTGGCTCTTCCTAAGGTCACCAGTGACTTAATTGTCAAGTTCTGTGACCTTTTCTCAGGCATCTTCTTACTTGACCTCTCTGATGTATTTGGCAATTACTTATTGCCCCCTTGTTTTTTTTTAGAGCTTGAGTATTTTTATGAGAATTATTACACAAAATATGGAAACTATAGAAAATAGAAAAATCAATAAATTCCTCTCATACGTGCATAATCACTATTAACATTACTTCCTACATTGTGCAATTCTCTTTTCTTAACTTCCAGACCTTTCTACTGATTCTCTTTCTACTGCCCTCTCCGATTTTTCTTTCTAAGCGCTCTTACTTTGTTGTCCCAGTCCTAAATGCTGGTGTTTTTCAGGGTTCTCTTATTAACGCTCTTCTTTTCTCACTGTACACGCTCTCTCTGGGTAATTTCATCCACTCCAGTGGCTACAGCCACCAAATAAATACTAATGACTCTCAGTTCTGTGTGTCCAGACCTAAATTTCCTCTGTCTCTTGGACTTATATCCATCTTGATGTCTCACAGGTACTTCACACTCAGCATGCCCCAGAATGAACTCATCTTTCTCCCAAAATCTGTTCTCCCTCCATTCCTTATCTCTGTGAATAGTAATACCACCCCTGCCCCCCCAGTTGCCAATCCCAATTTCTCTCCCTCATCCCTCACATCCAGTAAGTCAACAGATCCTATTGATTCTACCTCCTAATATCTCAAATCTCTCCCCTCATCGCCACTCATGTCTTGGTATAGCCACTCATCTTTTCTTACTAGTACTATGCAATAACCATCTAACTGCTCTCCATGCCTCCAGGCTCTGCCTCTCTAATCCCTTCTCTGACTATGGCACTCTGCACTTAAAACCCTTCAGTGACTCCCCTTTGCCCTCAGAATAAAGGCCCAATTTGAGGGGTTCAATAAAGGGCATTTGAGGCCTTCACACTCATGGTTCTGCCTACCTCCCTGCCTTGTCTTATCATTCCTTCCTACCCTCCCCCACACATACTCTACACTCCAGCCACACTGAACATCTCACAGTGTTACGCACTGTTGTGCCCAGCATATACTAGATCCTTAATAAGTATTTATTGAAAGAATACTTTGAGTTCTTTATGAAATCCACAAATTAATATTCATGAAATGTCTGCTCTTGTTTTTTGCTGGTATTTTAGGGGAAAAAATAAACTACTAGAAAGAATCTTTGACAGTTTAAAGACTGTAAATTAATGTTAACAAAATAACATCTCAGTCCTCTTTTGGAATTAAAACTTTTATGGCACCACAAAAAACTCATTTGGTTTTAGGAATTTTGTCATGATGGCATCTCTTTCAGAACCATTCTGGAGTTATTTAAAATGATACAACGCACTAGGAGCAGAGTTAGAATTAAATCTTTTTTTTTTTAACTAAAATACTCTTTGAGCCCAGTCTAACACAGGAGCCAAATATGTAGAATGGATAAAGATGGAGCCACTCTGGTTGATAGAGTTAGGGATTCACAACCCCGCCTGCTTACCAGCCCCCTTCTCCGTTGCAGCAGCTTCCTAGGGCATTTCCAAGGAATCCCCAGGGTATCTCAGAGAATAATTTATAAACCACTACTTTAGTAAAAGGGATTCAGAGCTGGAGTAAAGATACCTGGGTTCTGGGGAAAATTCTGCCCCAGAGTTGGGCAACTCTGAGCAAGTCCTTTCACCTTCCTGGGGCCTCAGTCTCCTTGATTGTGAATGAGAGTCTGGGATTAGGTGATCCCAGAATTGCCTTTCAGTTGAAATACCATTTCCATCCCTCTTGATCCTTGGCCTTTCTTTCCAACTGGCCTATATGGCCACTGACTCAGCTCTTCCTTACTTTCAGGACAACCTCAACTTGCTGCTAACTGACGAGGAAATGTATAGCCTCACAGAGACCTTTCAGCAGTGTAAAGTCATCCCTGGTAAGGCTGGACTCAGAGGGGCCAGGCAGATTTCTCCTTCATACTGTCTAAGATGAACCATGGAAGGAGTATTCTGGAATTTGGGGTGTAGGCAATAAATGGGTCCCTGTTCCCAAGCTGTTGGCCAGCAGGGGCATCCACCCCCAGCCACAGCCTGAGTTATTCTGGCTACAAGAGACAAAGACTCACCAAGAGCTGAGGATGTAGGGGCTCTGAAGGGTATCCTAGAGGTGAGTTGGAGGTACCCCTGAGGCTGAGGAAAGGGTGGGCATGGCTAGCATGGGGCGCCTCCCCACAGATTGCTCCCTGACCCTGGAGGACTTTCTGCGCTATCACCACCAAGCAGCGAAGCGGGGGGACAGTGACCGGGCTCTGAGCGAGGAGCAAGAGGAGCAGGCAGCCCGCCAGTTTGCAGCCCTGGACCCTGAACATCGAGGACACATAGAGTGGCCTGACTTCTTGTCCCATGAGTCCCTCCTACTTCTGCAGCAGTTGCGTCCCCAGGTAAGAGCCAGCTGGGGTGAATGTCCATGGGATAATGGGTGGCACAGACCTGGGAAGCATGCCAGGTAGGTTGGGGAAGCACTGGGTACTATCTCAGCAGGGACCAGTACCAGGACAGGGCTCAGGTTCTGTCCAGTGACAGGTGATCCAGTGCAGAGGCTGGGAGAGTGCCCAGGGAAGATTGATTTGCACTGGACCCCACTGCAAATGTTAGTGCTACCAGAAAGGCTCTGGGCGGCTTCAAAGGGAGGTTGCAGAGGTGGTAATGGAGGTCAGATTCTATTGGCTTGACAGTTTACAAAATATTTTCACCTCCAAGATCTTAGCTTGTTTCTTCTTCTCCAGAACTCTCTGTTAAGGCTTCTGACAGTCAAGGAGCGGGAGCGAGCCCGAGCCACCTTCCTAGCATGCAGCAGCGGGGGCACTGTCAGTGAGGCTGAGTGCCGCCGCGCCCAGCACTCTTGGTTCTGCAAACGCCTTGCAGAGGCTCCTTCCTGCAGTGTCAGGTCTGCTCCCTGCCAATCCCTGCCCCAACTCACGTACCTTCCTCCTCCCATGCCAAATAGCCCTTGGTATGAAAGGTACGTCCCTGTTTCTCCTGCCAACAGCCAGGAGAGGATCCTCGTTTGTGACTCCTATTGGCCAAGGCATAGGGCGGCCTCTACTCCAAACTGTCGCTCCATGTCAGAAGGCCTGGACATGCACCTCCAGAGCCATGGGTTCACCAGAGTTTGGGGAGACCAGGCCTTTCACCATCCCACTCCTAACCACATGTCCTTGTGCCCAACAGCATCAGTCATGTGGGTCCCATAGCAGACAGCAGCCCAACCAGGAGCAGCAGAAAGAGTCAGGACAAGGTCCTCCTGCCCACAGACCATGAGTCCAGGTGAGTGGGACCTCCTCACCTGCTGTCTGCACCCACAAATCCTCAACACACACAAGTAAGAGGAGAGCATTACCCACTGCCACCTCAAAACAGCAAGTGCCCACCCCAGAAACCAGCCTCCGAGAATGCATGTTTGACTCCAGATCCATAGGGTCAGCCTGCTGGTCTGTGAGCTTGGAAGCACAGTCAGATAGAACTATGTCAAGCACAAGCCAGGGCTTCCCTGAGTTTTGCCCAGCTCAAGCCATGCTGCCCCTGGGACCAGGCCTCATGAGCCTCCTGGCTCTGCAACCAGCCTCATAAACCTGTTCTTTGCTTCCCCTCCAGATTTGTGGACTGGCCTACCTTTCTGCAGGAGAATGTCGTCTACATCTTGGCTGCTCGCCCCAACAGCGCAGCCATTCATCTGAAACCCCCAGGATAGCATGGAGCAAGAAGCTCAGTTTGGGGACAGTGGCGTTCTCTCCCTCCTTTCCTTTCCCCCTTTCCCTGACCACCCTCTGGTACTGAAACTTAAGGGGATGGAGCACTGCCTGCATCTCAGTTTGTCACTAAGCTTTATGGCACTGAAATCACCATTCCACTCACAACAGAGGCAGTAAATGCACTGCCACAGGGAGAAGCCCTGCTGAGTGCTGTGGCTGCATCCACTTCCTGGACCACCCCACTGCCCTCGCATCACAGACTGAACCTGCCACTGTACACATATATGCGTGCACGCACACGTACACACATGCCTAACTGTCCATACCTTCAGTGGCCTGGTTCTTTTTGGTTGAAAAAGGACCACAGTTCCTTTGTGAAGCCCCTGGTATAAATAAGGGGTCTCTACTTACCCCTTTTATTGGCCAGTTCTGATTTCTAATAGATAAGTCTCTGGCCAGGTGATTCTTAAGGGGGCGTGTCAGACTCACATGTTCTCATCTACTGAAAACCCCTCCTGTGGTGAGCTGCTGTTCTGGTGGGTGTATGCTGTGTCCTTAGCTCTGTTGGGGTGGGAAAATGGTTGAAAACTACCAGCGCACTTCAGTCCTTTTTTTTTTTTAAAGATTGGCACCTGAGCTAACAACTATTGCCAATCTTTTTTTTTCCTGAGGGATGCCACCTCAGTGTGGCCTGATGAGCAGTGCCATGTCCACACCCAGCACCTGAACCGGCGAAGCCCTGGGCTGCCGAAGCAGAGCGTGCGAACTTAACCACTTGGCCATGGGGCCGGCCCCACAGTCCATTACTTAAATTGCAATTCCTGGTGACAGAGAAGGCAACTAGTCTGTGGAGTCCTAATCAGAACAGGGAGAGGCAGCCTCTCCCAGGGACCCAGCATTCTAGGAACCTCTCAGCCAGGTTATTTAACTCCAGATGTCTTTAGCAGAACAGTCACAAACCAAGGTGAGCCATCCTGGCCCCTGTTTTTCAGATGGGAGTTCATGGCCCAGAGCCCAGGGGGCCTGAATGGAACAAGTATGACAGGAGCCACAGCCCTCTGTGTTAGATGCTTCACCCACGTCAGCTACCACAGAGACCCCAAGCCTGAGCTCCAACGAGGACAAGGTCTGGATGGAAGAGGGGAGGAGACAGCTCATGTTTTTCCATCCTTCCAGCTCAAGTCAACCACAGCCAGAAAAGTGTGCTGTTGTATGGAGAGCAGAGCCAGCCTCTTCCACGGCCCAAGAAAGAGCAGCTCCACAGAAGCCCTGAGCAGGGACTCCTTTCAGCCACCCTGACAATGAGGATAAGAGGCTGGAGCTAAGAAGAGGCTTTGCATCTCTCTTGAGCAGAGAAAGTCTCAGCAAAACCTCAGGGAAGGAGGAGGCTTTCCCTTCTCCCTGTCACTGAGATATGGCCTGAGTTGCTGCTGCTCTCCACTGCTCACTACATGTCCTTCCCCACCAGCCTAGGGCCTGGGCCTGGCATGAGAGGACTTAGGGGGCAGGCAGAGGCTGCCACAAGGCCACCAAGCCAGACCTCCAAGCCCCAGCTGTCCTTCCTAAGTTCTCATCAAGTTCTCAAGTCAGTGCATGTTGTGGGCCAGCCCTGGCCCTGGGGGTCAGGTTTCTGTTTCCAACCTGATGACTTAGGTTTAGCCAGATCTGACTGCCAAGAGTTATTTGACAGGGTTGGCTCAGTCACGCAGAAGCTAACATATCCCTATTGCCCAAGGCACTTGTACTAAATTGGATGCTTGCAGAAGCAGCAGCATAGTGCTCAGTGTTGAGATGCTCAGAGGAAAGAGGGCAGCTGCTACCAGGGGCATGGTAAAAGCACTATATGGTCTCATCCTGCAGAAACTGCCCAACCTAGAAACAGAGTGAGAAGCTTCTGGGGTTGGATTATTTAGGACTGAAATGAAGCAGACAAGGTGAATCTGGGTTCATGTATATGGCCCTGAACATTTCAAAACCCACAGCTTTTTGTAAATACTACTTGGCTGTACTCCCAAGACTGATCAGTAGACCGGGCCATTATTCAGTCCAACCAAAAAAAAAAAAAAGGAGAAAGCACGTGGCTCAGGCCCAAGGACTGTGTCTGAGGCAGCGGGGCCTGGGACTGTGCGCTGAGAAGATTAAAGCACAGTAGCACAGGGGCTCTTGCCTGCTCTCCTGGCAAATCGCCTTCTATGCCCATGGCCTTGGGCTGTTTGATCTCATAAACTGGGCATTTTCAGTAGAGACAAGCTCTGTACTTTGACAGCTGAACAACTTTTTTTCTCCTGCCTTGTCATTAGTCGCAGGGACTGGGAGTTCACCTTATTCCCTGATCCTTCACAGATCAAGGTGATGCCTACCTCTCTGGAGCTGCAGCTTCTAGCTTTCTGTGAGTAAGAGAAAGACCATGAGCCAGGTCAGGCCAGCTATATCCCAGGGCCTGGCAAAGCAGGCCCCAGAGTTCTTCCACAACAGGATCAGGCCTACTTGGGATGACCCCTCTCCCTATTCCACGACAGCAAGCTTCCTTGGTTGGGGCGTGCTTCAGAGGGCCCAGGGGACACTGCTCCCAGGAAAGGGTAGCATTCCCAGTCCACCGGAGTCCTAGGAAGCAGAAAAGCACAGCGAAGCAACCAGCCTCTTCTGTGTAGGCATCTAGCTTTTTACCAAAGGAGAGTCTCCATTGTTCCACCAGTCAAGAGTTACAGAAGCCCCTCCCCAGCCCCTTGTCCAGGCTTTTCCTTTGCAGTGTCCTCATTCCTGGAGCCCCTTTGCAGTATGTGTGGAGACATTCAAACTTTTATAAACCTAGTGAAGCCTGTTCCCTTTCTTTCTCAAGCTCTTCCATCACTGTGACTGTCTGAAATTATGCCAAGTGCAAAAATTAGTGTCTGGCTCTGATAAGGATATGAGAAAATGTTTCAGTCTTTTTTTCTTGGCTGCCCAAAATTGAGATCAATGCTTTTCCCCAGTACTACCCACCCCACCTCCCAGCCAAGGGAGGCTGGAGTTACATATGTGCTTCTCTGAAGACCACATGCCCTAAGCCTGTTTTTCACCCAGCAGTCCCCTTTCCTATGCTCAGATTTAAAGACAGGGCATCTGGATGACACAGTGGAGCTGCAGAGACGGAGGGTCAGCTGAGGCAGCGGCTATGGCCGTGTAACTTCTGCAGGTCTGCTGCATGACTGCCTCTCCCACAACCAGCCTTCCCCAACAGATGCAGGCTCTGCACTTTTGAGCACTCGCCCCTTTGGATCCCAGTGATGGAGTGGTTCCCTTGTGCCTAGGTATTGACCCATTCTCAAGTGCTCCTCTTCCTTTGAGGACAGCCATGGCCGAAGCCATGAGCACAATGCTTCTTCCTGCCCTCAGCCCGAGTAACTGGGGCTACAGGACAGACACTGGCCTTTCTTGCCCCGGTGTTCTCTAGGGAATGTCACCCTGGCCTTTTCGAGTGGCTACATCTGGGGCTCCCCTCATTCCTATCCAATATGGGAAGTGCAAAATCAAACTGCCTGGGAAGAGGGCCCCTCACTGGGGGCTGAGCCCAGGATTGTGCATAGGCCTCTTAGCCCAAAGCACAACCTCAACCGTTGACTGTTGCAGGTCTCATGGCTTCAGTAAGAGTAGTGCCAGAAAGCCCTAAAGCCAAGAGGGAAGCTGGGCAGAAGCTGTCTGGCAGGGCCCCAGGGCAGCCAGGACCACCAGAGAGTCCAAAGTAACCTCCAGGCAGGATTGGTAGCAGGCTGTAGTGATCCTCCAAACCAGCAGAGTAAAGGCAGATGTATACTTGGCACTAAAAGGCAGAATGACCTTAATGCCAGAATTTCAGGACATCCTGGCAGCAACTGTAACCATAACCCCTTTTATTCCTCTATTTACAGTGGAATAAAATTGCTACTTTCTCCATGCCACTTAGTTAGAATTTGCCCAGGATGTCTCTCTGGGGCCCTGGTTGCAGCCCAGACAACAGAGATCTTCTTGAGCGGAGGATGTTAATGCTTGATGCCCATTCCCAACAGCTCAGTCCTGGAGTCGCATAGAACTGGACAGTTTCCCTGCTGTTGCTTTCCCGCTACCACTGCTTTTGACAAACTTGAAAGAAACAGGTTATAGAATTTCCACTAGACCCAACTAGCATCAAGGAAAACCTTCCCTCTTGGCCACATGCCCCAGTGATCCAAGTTACAGAGAAGGTGTCAGATCTGGTCTGGGCCAGCGCCTAGAAACCCAATTACATTCCAGTTTGAATAGCATGGGTTGGCATGACCACAGATAAGAGCATCAGGGTATAAGTAGCAAGGCCTTTCCATATCCATGGTAAACAAAGACCTCCAAGCTTAGCCTCCTTTAACAGATGGCCTAAGATCTGTCTCCTAGCCCAAAACAGGTTTGGGGGAAGCCTGAGAGCACTCAAGTAACAGTAGAGGGTCCAGTGCCGTCTAGTCCCTCCTGCCCTTCCTATGTGCTTTTCTGCAGAAGGTAACTTGACAGTAAGCTGAGGGGAACATCCCCAAGCCCTGTCTTCCCATCACTACAGCTGCATGTTCCTCCCCATGGCTCAGCCTTCACTCCAGAAGGCGCTGGGTACAGTGGAAATCATAATAAACAGATTGTGATGTTACTTCAACTGCCTGTTTCCTGTTGTTTGGGGCACCTGCTGAGTTTCTGTGTGGTTTCCTATCATTGGCCAATTCCTGAGTCTGAGTCTAAGACAAGAGTATTTGACCTCCAGGAAGAATACTTTGGCTCTCTTTCTAGAGCTTTCCTAGTGCTAACCTTCCCAAGAATCAAGCAATGGGTGGGGGTTGGAGGAGGCAGGGGCTCCACCACAGCATAGAGGGGAAATGGGGGCACTGAAGAGAGGAGCCAGAATTTTTGAAGAAACTGAGGAAGAAGTAAGGCTTCCAAGCCTGTCTGCTATGGATTGCCCCCTCTCTCCACCAAGGGCCTGTTTCAGACACTTTTCCCGGTTCCTGCTGAGCTACAAAGTAGGGGAGCTAATGGGCTGTGTTTCTCCTGGTCTTTTGGGCCCTCCTTGGTCTGAGAGTTTCCTCCTCATTTTTGCAAATTGTTTTAATGTGATACGATAGGGTTGGGTAAACCCTATCAAAACCTAAGGTCTGGGGAAGCTTTTGGAGGACTGTGGAATCCCCATTCCTCCGTTGTATCTGGTAAGAACAGAGCCAGTACCTGCGGGCAGGAAAGCATGCCTAGACTGGATCAGAGGCAAATCTACCTCCAAACCATAGGAATCGCAAATACAAACAACAGCTAACATTTTCGAGCAGTTACTGTGAACTGGGCAGTTCTAAGTGCTTTGTGTAAATAATCTTCAAAACAACACTATGAGACTTGCGTTACAGATGAGAAAAGTGAGGAACAGAGAGGCTGAGAGTTTTCAAGTTTACACAGTCACACAGCTAGGCAGCAGGGGAGCCAGGTAGTCTGACTTCAATGCTCATGTTCTTAACCACTACTGTGCTGCCAGTCAAAGTACACCGCAAGAAAAACAGCTGCTATGTAGCCTAGCACCTCCCCATTCCACCCCCAGGGAACAGACATACACAGGCAGCCAGGCCTGTAGCCATGTCACTGCATTTATCACCACCTGCGCAACTCACCCCACTCACTCACAGGGCTCCCATACCTCTCCTCCCTGGCGTTTTCCACGGAGGTCCGTCAGGCTTCGAGACAGTTTAATGACATCCTACAGGTTCCTTCTTGTGTCTAGGCTCACTTAAGCCGAGCATTGGACAGGAAAAGAGGCGTAAAAGCTTGGCCTCTGTGAACCTTAATGATATCCAGGTTTCCCCGCCCTCAGTCCAGCAGTCCTGACTTTAAACCCTCCTAGGACTCTACCAACTGCCACTTGTTCCCAGGGCTGGCTGGAGCCTTGGTTCCACACAAACTCCCACAGCCCTGTCCTGCTTTGGCTCAAATGCACTCCTCTTTATGTCTGGGGAAAAGTCATTCCCCAAAAGGAAGCAGCGGCTGCTAAATTTTCTAAACATGGAGTAATTAGTCTTCTCTCTCTCACCCCACCCCAAAGGGTTGCTTGAAGTTTGACCTTGCTGGACCTCAGTTTCCTTATCTGTAAAAGTCTGGAAAACAGATTTTTGTCCTGTCTGCCTCCTGGGCTGATAGTTGAGTGAGTACAGAATGAGTTTGGTAAGAGGAAAGAGTTTTATACACTGTTAGTCACTGAGTGAGCAGCAAGGATTTCTGGCCCCATCTGAAGGCTGTGTATATCATCTTCCACCTGGGGGCACTGCCAATGGCCTCTGTCCACAGTGCTGAAGTCACAGCCAAGCCAGCTAGGGCTCTTCAGTCCCTCTTTTTTTTTTTTTTTTTTTTTTTTTTTGGTAATATACTAATTTATTCATATATATTCACTTTACATCATTATGTTTTAACACTCATCAAAAACAAAAATATGGAACACCTCACAAATTTGCACGTCACCCTCACACAGGGGCTGTGCTCATCTTCTCTGTGTCATTCCAATCTTAGCATCTGTGCTGCCAAAGCGAGTTCTTCAGTCCCTCATCCCACCTTAAAGTAAGTGTCAAGTACAGAGCTTTCCAAACCTAAGGACTGCCCTAAAACTCAGAAGCTATTGTCAAAATGTTTTTTATTTCATTTATTTCAAGGCTCTTTGTTTTTTAAAATAACTATAACACTCCTTTCAAAATCATAATATGTACAAATGGGCATGTGACTTAGCAGCTCAGGGAGAAGAGAGGCTGCAGCCTTCACTTGGTGTGGGTGAACAGCATGAGGTGACTACCCAAAAACTGATTTAACCTGAGGCTACAAGGAGAGAAGTTCAAAGTCAGAAGAGGGAGGCAGGCCAGCTCATTTGTATGCTGTACCGGCACTCCTGGAAAAAGCTAATCAGAGCCAGGCACCAAAAACTGAAACCTAGCCAGGGAAACATGGCCACTAGGCTGGAATTAAACAAGGCAGAAGAGGAACCTACGAAGACCTGAGAGGTGTTCACCCTGGAGAAGAGCAGACTTGAGGGATGCAGATGGCTGATGATGTCTGGCCAATGAGACCAATGAGATCAGCATGACCTCAAGGACAGAGCTAAGACCAAAGGTGGAGGAGAGGCAGAGTTCTGCTGAACAGGACCAAAAGATAACTGGATACCAGGGAAGGTGGTGAAGCTGTATAAGCATATGACAGCAACGTTGAGTTGGGGTGGGATACCAGGTATCCAGTCCTCTTGAGACCTACGATGCCAGTAAAGGGTTAAGCACCTTCTGGTGCTTGCCCAGCTTTGAGGCCGGCTGAGCTGGAGGGAGACCCATGATTATATGGACCCACATAACCCCAAAGCATCAGCATCACTGTGTGTGGAACCTTAATTTCTTTAGTTCAACCTCTTAGACCAACTGTTCTGCCTCCAGCTCTGGGTCCTGACCTGAAAGAAAAGATCCAAGATCTCAATATGCCTAATATCCCCTTCTGAAGTGGGCTCTGGAAAGCTTGCCTCTAGAACCTGATGTTGCACGCCCTCTGCTGGTCATTCCTAGCACTGTCCTTTCACTCCAAAGCAAGAAATAACCCCTTTGAACCCTTATGGTACTGGGCAGCGTAAGTTCAGAACATGCAGGGAGACGCCAGGCAAGCACCAGGGAGTTAGATCGCTAGTCAGTGTTCAGTCGGTGTGCAGGATCAGAACTGAACCTGCGGATGAGTTCAAGTATCTGTATCAAGATTAGGGTTCACCCATGCCTAGGAGGAGGGCTGAGGCTGAGGCTGGGTTTGGGGGACTATCTGGTCCAGGACTAAGACCAAGGTCAGTATCTCAGGCTGAGGCCAAAATTGGGACTCAGTGTGGGACTGAAGTCTGGGCTCAAGTGTCAGCATGAAGTACGCATCCAAGTGAGATGCTAAGAGTCTGACCTCAGAAAGGACTCAGTCTGCATCCAAAGTAATGGGATCAATGTAGCATTCCTATAGCAGGTGGGAGCATCAGGTACTGGATCAGCAGCAGTCACTGGAGAACTCAAGCAGAGATATTACCAGGGGAGAAGTATAAGGGATGGGGGACAGAATAAGGTAGTCACTAATTTCTTAGGGCTTCTCAGCCTGAAAGAAGGTAACGGGCAGGCTAGGGCCCCCTTTCTCCTCAGAAGGTGGATCCCAGCATTCTAGTTCCAGCTTCCTGTTAAAGCCCCTCATCAACCCTAGTAGTGCCACGTACAAATTGCAGGTACAATTTGGGAAGAAGAGAGGTCCAGGGGCCAGTCTCGTCACTGCAGAGAGCTGAAGCTGTGGGAGTAATCTTCCTTTCCCTTAGGATTCTCTGTTTCTCTTGGCAACAGGGCCTGGCAGCCTCCCACACCCAGATCTTAGCAACCATGGGAGCCCCTGGCAACTGCTGCCATGGTGACAAGACAGGGAACTAAGCATGGGCTGAGGGGGGAGCACTTCCTCTGGAGCCTTCAGGATTATGTGCAAGATAGAGGGCTCCCCCTCCCATCCACAGTCTGGGAGGGAACATGTGCTTCTGTCTAAACACCTCCTCACTGGCACCCACCCCCACCCCTGCCCCTGGTTCCCCTTCCCCCAGGGTGAGGAAAGGACGGGACACCTAGGGTTATGACGTCTCAATGGGTAAGTGGGAGTGTTTGGAACTGACGTGATCACGGATGCATGCATATACCAGCAGACATGCTGTCAGGGTGTCAAGAGCCACAAAGCCACACTTCATCCACTCTTTGCCATGTCGACACAGGCCTACACAGTCATTTAATCATACATGTACACTAACACAAAATCACAGGCCTACACAGAATCAGGCACACTACCACACAAAAATAATTACCCAGATATACTCTCACTCACAAATTGCAGTACAGATACAACAGTACAAATAACTCCCAATCACACTCAAACGCTTACAGACACACTCACACACCCAGATATCTGTGAACATATTGAGTAACGGTTAACTTTGTTGAGCATTAACTACACGCCAAGCTCAGAACTAGGTGCATTACATGTGTTACCTTAATTAACCCTCATACAACCCTATGAAAGACTGTTGTTGTCTATCCCCATTTTACAAAGGAAAAAATGAGGCACAGATGTGGCAAGTAATCTCACAAGGTCAACAGTCTGCCTCCAGAGCCTACATTCTTACACCCTGAGCACCTTAGTGCCTCACACACACAGCTGACGCCCAGGGAAATGCAACACAGGGCAGCAATAGTGAACCCGGCAGACAATGGAGTCCAGGCCACCAACACCTGAAGGCACAGCCCTGCACCCTCGAAGGTCTAAGCCTACAACTTAACATTAGCAGGGACCAGGTAAGGGCCGGTGACTAAACTCTCTGCCTCCACATTGGCACAGGCAAGCTGGAGGAGGCCAAATAGAGAGAACTGGAATAGGAAGAAGCAGAGCCACCCACAGCCCAGGTCCCCATGAGTCTGGAGGTGGGGGAGTGAGAGCCCCCAGATCTAAGGAGCCAGCAGCAGTCCTGGGCTCCCTCATCCTACCTTGCCTATCTCCATGTCACACTACTGCATTCCCTCACCACCCCACCTCCCCTCCCTTCCTCATTCCTCCTCACCCCACCTCTCTGTCCCAACTTTTTGCTGCTCACCCCATCTCCCACCAGGTCTATTCCTTGTTCCCCACTTCCCCTTCCCTTTTCATTCCCACCCCTCCTCACCTCCCACTCCGTATCTCCTCCCTCCTCTCCCTTTCTCCTCCCCATCACCCTTACCCCATCTCCTCTCCATCCTCCTCTTACCCTACTTCCTTTCCTTCCTTTACACCTCACACCCCTTTACACCTGGCATCCCCATAGTGAGTACTAGAAAGAAGGCAGGTAGTGGAGAATATGCAGAGCTGACCTCAGGACCCCTAGACCTTTCTCCTGCTCTGTTCTGCTCTGTGGCCTAGGAAATAATGCTCTCCAAGCCTCACTTTCCAGCTCTATCTAGCTTGCATGACCTCATGGGTATCCAAACTCTGTCTCTGGGAAACGGTAAGTGAGAGCTTCTGCCCTGGCCCTTCTTTTGTCCTCAAACTCCCTAAGAATTCCTTCCCCCGCTTCACCCGCGGCTTACCCCCTCCCCACCGCCACTCCCTCCAGCACAGATGGGCCTGGGAGACAGAGACGTGGGCGCCAGGCACCCTGTCTGCTCAAACGTCGGCTTCCGCTGGCGACCGCCTCCGCAGCCCTGCCTGCTCCGAACAGCGGGGACACTGGGGCTGAGATTTAATGGGGGAAGGGGGGCTGAGATGGATGGGAGACGCTGAGGGTATTAAGAAAGGAGATCAGTGGGGCTGAGATGAAGAGTTAAAGGGGGCAGCTAGGATAGGGGAGACCATGGGAGTAGATAAAGAATTAAGAATAGGACGAGGCAGAAAATTCATGGGGGAAAGACAGGACCAAGAGGGGAAAGTAAAAGGAGGCTAAAATGCGGGAACTCGAAGGGGAAGTAGGGTGAAAGACTGTAGAGGAATTTTAATGGGGATTGTGGGGGTTGCTGAGAAGGGACGCCGCAGGAGGGAGCCAGGATGGGGGGATAATACGGAGAAAGAAAAGGGGACTCAGAAAGGAATCAAGGAGGTGGCTACACCTGGGGAGAAATACCAGGTTAGAAAGGAGGGAGTAGAAAGGTACTTAAACCCTGCATGTCTACAGGGGTCTGTTTTGAGATTCGGTCACGTCAGGTCAATTCCGGGTCAAGGTAAGGTAAAGCTAAATCAGGTCAGGTCGAGGTCAGTTCCGGGTTCGATGGAAGACAGGTAAGACGGCGTGACCTTTTGACCCTGGTCCAGGGACTACACCTCCCAGGGTGCACTATTCTCTCCCCTCCCCTCCTAAACGCAGAAAGGAAAGAATGCCCAGAGTTCCGGCCAACTGGTCGGCGCAGTTTTCCTTTAAGGCTGCCTTTGACGTTGCACGGGTTCCAGAAGGTTCTCTCGGGATTCGAGCCGTGGCCAGTAAGTCCCACCTTCTCAAGCCGGACATTGGACTAATATAGTTGCCCGCCCTCTTTCGGGTCTGAGCCCCAGAGACCAACCAATAAGATTAAAGGGCGCGTGGAGTTTCCGCCCCCGCCCCCTTCACCAATGACACGACGAGATAGCGAAGAGGCGTGGTTGATTGATCCCAGAGCGCACCAATCAGACCCGCACCCATCACGGCCCGGAATATGTGCGCGTGTGGCCGGGTGACGGGGGCGGAGCGTGGGCGACTCTTACCGACCGCTCGTTGAGAGCTGTCCAATGACAGCAGAGGCCGAGCTGAGTGACGGGCGCACGGCGCAATGGGCGGCGCGGAGGCGGAGCCGTGGGGGCGGTTCCTGGGCCCGCTGTCTGCCGCCGGCGGGCAGGCGACTCCTGTCCCGACTGGAGGCGGCGGAGCCGGAGCCGGGAGGGGGCAGCGTGTCTGACGGACCGCGGCGGCGCCCGCAGCTCCTCACCGGTGAGGGCGCCGAGCCAGGACTCGGGGGCTCCGGGAGGGGGGTGTTGTGAAGCCAGGGGTCTCGGTGTCGGGGGAGTGGGACCGGCGGGCCCATAGGCTCTTCTGCCGTGGGGTGCGGGGACTCGGGGTCTGCCAGGTGCTCGATGTCCGCCACCCTCTCACCGGGAGCAGCCAGCGTCTGGGCCAGGGATAGTCGGCCGGGTCGGATTGGGTTCCGCGGGGCAGAGACCTTCTGAGCCGGCCCAGCCTGCCAGCTCCGGTGACATCACCCACCGCGCTCCCCGCCGAGCCCCCTCCCCTCTCCTCCCCTCATTTCCTCGCCTTTTGTCCCGTCCGAGCTCTGCTCTGCTCTGCTCTGCTCTGCCCCGCCCCGCCCCGCCCATCTGCGAGGGAGGAGACTCCCAGTCAGGGACTTCATTGAGTAGGTTCTTGGGGTTTGGGGTCGGGTCCTGCCCGGAGAGAGAGGCGAGAAGAACTCACTGCCTCTCAGGCCCTCACAGACAATCACACCTGTCACAGGTACACACGCTGCCGCTCACAAGCACACACTCGCACTGCCAGCCTACTGTCACACTGCCATACAGCCGTTCTCAATCAGCCAGACAGTGCCGCATCGGAGAGCAGGTGGCCGCTGGACCCTATCCCTTCACTTTCCACGCCTGGGGATCAGGTCCAGCTCCTGCTGCACCGGACAGGCCTTGCTGGGCAAGTGCCTCTGGGAACCTGAGGAGGCGGCTTCCAGAGCTGCAGCTTTCCGAGCAGGCTCCCGGGGAGCCGTCAGAGGTGAGGGGCTGGGCCGGGCATGTTTAAGCGCACAGTGCTCTCCTGCCCATCCCCAGCATCACCCCCACTACAGGCCCGAGGAGCTTTCCGGAGCTTCCCACACTTCTGGGGAGAAGACTTCTTAGCCAGCTTGATGTTTAAAATTCAGCTGGAGCCCTTAAAACTTCGAGCGTGGACGCTGAATGGGTTTGTAAAGTTTCGGTAAGTCCCTCCGGAGAAGGGCGCTCATACCCATACCAAGTCAGTTCTCCACGTCACATCCCCTCCATTGCCATTCCTCCATCCATTCCTTCCTCTGTCTCCTCGTCTTCTCATCCCCATTCCATATGAGAACCCCTGTTCCACCTCACCCTTACATTTGAATGAACTGCACTGCTCGTTATTCATCTCCTATACCAAACCCTCAGGCGTCCATGTTCCACAAACACCTCCTCCAGTATTTCAACTCTCTCCATCTCTCTCTTTCAACCCATTGGTAACCCATTTTCCACCTAAGCCATTTCCTTTTGTCATCCCTCATCCCCCTCCATCAGTGCTTAATTTTCTGCATCAACCATCTGCCCTGCCTCTGCCAGGCCCCCTTGCCATTCCTCCTCATTTTTCATTCCTGCCTCTACATTAACATCCTCTTCATTCTTCTCCATCAAAGGCAGTGCCATGCCATGGGGCTCCTTTGTCATTCCAACACGTGGCTTGTGGGTAGGGGGAAGGAGGGAGGGAGGGAGGAAAGGAGGAAGAAAAAGGCAATTCCTGAAAGAGCTTGCCAGGTGTCTGTGGAGGCAAGAGAATTATAGGTCTAGAGCAGCTAGCAGGTGGGTGCCAGGGAGGAAGCTGGCCGCATGAAGAGGTAATGCAGGGACAGCCAAGAGGAGGGCGGGAGCATTGGAGGCTGTTCCACTTGCCCTCTGCCTAGAAGCTGCTGTAGGTCTTCGGGGTCACCCTCCTGGTGTGGTAGGGTTCCTTCCCACGCTCAGGGGAAAGAAGGGGTGGGCTGAGGCGGAGATGGCAGACCACCCCCAGCTCCCTCTCAGATGGCTTTCACTGCTGCTTCCGAAAATGGCTGCCCTCCCCCAGATGCTCTTTCTTCTCTGCCTCCTCCAACCCCGGCCTCCCCCACCAGGCGTGACGTGCTGGTAGGGGGAGAAGGGGGAGTACCCGCCTTTATAAAGCCTTCTCTTCGTCAGAGTGAGGTGACTCCCAGAACCATGAGTCAACCCAGCCACCTGCAACAGGCCCTATGGGGGCAGGAGCGAGGGCTGTTGTCCCTGCCTACCTGGGGCCTTGAGGCCTCTCTTTACCCATTACAGCCCTCACTCCTGCTGGGAAAGCCTGCACACCTCGCTGAAGCAGTCAGTGGCAGAAAAGCAGGCCTCAGCTGTGGCTGCCAGCCCGGGACATTGCTAGAAAGACTCTCATTCTCCGGGCTTTGGCAGGGGTTTGCCAAGTCTCAGAAAGGCTGGAGAGTGACTTCTGGCCATTTCCCCAAATAGATGTAGCTACAGGAAAGTCCCCTTCCCCTCACATCCAGCACAGAGATAGTGGCAGAGGGCAATGAGAGAAGAATTAGAGCCCTAGGTTTCTCCCTCCCATAACAAAGGCCCTGCACCCAGGGCCTATCAGAGGAGTGTGGGCCTGGCACCAGGACAGATCCTAAACCACAGGACAGGTGCAAGGATGGGACTGGTAGGGAGGGGACTAAGAAAGTGGTGGTTAGTGCCCGATTGTCTCTTAACAACTAAGGTTTAAAAAGGCCCTACCCTCAGGATGCTTTTGTTCACTAGCAGGGGTGCTTAGGAGGCACAGACATGTTTTCACACACAGTGTTGTCTGTGGACACTGGGAAATGAGTAAAGGGAACTGTTGTCATCTCCCTGCTAATGAGAGAGTTAGAAACAGCAGTTTCCAAAGGCTGAGGTTTATCCTCTGATCTGAGACGCACGTGTGGCTTAGCACTGTCTAGGGAGCGAGGGCAAGGAGGCCTGGGGTCCCCAGTGGCAGAGAGGACTCCAAGCACCCACACCCTGAGTCAGCCTGGCTGGCCAGGACAGCTGACTGAAGACCCAGACCTGTCCCCAGTCCTGGGCCACTGCCCCAGCTGCCCTTAGCCTGGGCACCATGCCTGAAGCATGGCGTAGGAGACCACGATGCTCAGGTGACCTCACCCAGTCCACTGCCCTTCGCCAGCTTCTGTGCGTGGGTCTGTCAGTCTGTGGTGCTGCCTCACCCAGCAGGGCTTCTCGGGGGTCCTCAGTCTGGCCCAAGAACCTGGGCCTTAGCCTAGCCCCAAGAAGTGGGCCACAGACCCCAGCTTCCTGCTGGGAAAACCTGCTGGGAGCTAAGGAAAGAATCACAGAATCCTAGAATGTCAGAGCTGGAAGAGATCATCTAGACCAAACCTTTCATTTTACTGATGGGGAGACAGAGGGCCACAGAACAGGCATGACCTGCTGAAGGTCACACAGTGAGTCATTTAGAGCTTGCAGGATCGTCAGGAGCAGGGCTGGGGCAGAAGAGAAAAGGGTATCAAGGATTGTCCCTGGGTTTCTTTCAGAAACAAGGAGACCAGTGCCGGTCCAGTGGCTGTGATGGGCAAGGATTATTACAAGATTCTTGGGATCCCATCGGGAGCCAATGAGGATGAGATCAAGAAAGCCTATCGGAAGATGGCCTTGAAGTACCACCCAGACAAGAACAAAGAACCCAACGCGGAGGAGAAGTTTAAGGAGATTGCAGAGGCCTATGATGTGCTGAGTGACCCTAAGAAACGGGGCCTCTATGACCAGTATGGGGAGGAAGGTAAGAGGGCAGTGCTCCAGCCTGATACTGGACCCCTGTCCTTGCCTGGGGTCCTGGGTGACCCTGTTCTCATAGCAAGGAACTGGAGGTTGAGGAGGGGGTGAGGGAGACAAGTGTTCCCAGCACCCACACCCAGAGGAGAGAAGAGACCACCCACCACGCAGCCTCAGCCTACTATAGCTCTCCCCGCCTCTCTCTGTCCCTCTGCCTCCTCAAGTGCAGGCCTTAGAGAGGTCTGGAGCTAGAGCCAGAGGCCTTCCCCCTCCCTCCCTCACCTCCCAGCCTTATTAGTCCTGCCTGCAGTCCCTGCAGCTTTATTGGCTGATGAGGAAGGTCAGGGAAAGGGAGTATGTGGCTCTCTGAGGACAGAGCACCTATAGTCATCAGCATAAAAGTTTGGCCCTTAAGCAGCCTGGAAATTAACCACTGGAGCTCAGAGCGAGAGATGGTCGTCCCCTCCCCTGCCCCCTCCCTGCCCACTTCAGGCCAGCAGAACAGAGGCGGAGCTTCACCTCCCTGAGGAAGTGGCAGGGATCCAAGGGTGGAAGGGGAACTGCTGCTGGCATCCTGCCCCCTCCCTGGGGTAGCTGGTGGCCACGTACAGAGCGGCAGGAAAGGCCCAAATAAAGCCTCTGAGAGGGCGGCCCCTCCCAGTACATCCCACGGGCATGATGTAGCTGCTAATTCTGGACCTGCCCCTCAGGGCCGCCTGCCATCCGCCAGCCACAGGCACCTGTCAGGCTATATTAAGAGACATTGTCACAGCTGAGGACTCTCCTTCCCCAGAGGAACTGTCCTTCCTCCCCAACGGCATCTGCCTTTCTTCCACATTCTCCTCCTTACTCTCCCCACTCTAGCCTCAAAATTAGATGGGCTAATGATACCTACTGTACCTGATACAGAGTATGTGCTCAAAAGAATATGCTTTCCTCTCCTCCTTGCCTTGTGCTCCACGCCCCTGTCCTCTGTGCACCCCAGTCCTCCAAAGTGCCTCTTCTTATTCGTCATGCCACGAGTTCCTTCCGTTTTTCCCTGCTCACCTGCTAGACTTGCCAACTCCCAGATTCACCAGGCATCTGCTGGAATCCCCAGTATTCTCTCAGCTAAGAAATTTTTCTGTCTGGGAGGGAGGGGGGCCGTAGGGGTGGGGGAAAGGGAATCAGTGCAGACACCATGCCACCCTGTGGCCTGTCTAGGAACTGCACTCACTCTTCCAGGGGCCTCCCCTCTTGTTTAGGAAGCAGGTGGGAGCTGGGAGAGCCAGCCTAAGTGAACGGCAAAGCTCAAGCCCTAGGCCCAGACACCAGGTCCTCATGCAGATCTGCATCCCAGCAGGGCTTCTGAGAATGCAACACGCCCTTAAGGAGACATCCAGGACCTGGGGAGGGAGAAGCAGGCTTGGAAATGTGGGTTATATTTCTGTCTGCTCTGCCCCCTCCCCAACAGCCAGCCAAAAGTTTGTGCACACAAACTCTCTGTGCAGCCCTGGCTGGGGACAAGTTGTCCCCAGCTTGAAAAGGAGGTGGTAGGGTACAGCAGGAACCCCTACAGAGAAATCACCCCCTGCTGTCATCATTAGTCCGACCTCCCTCTCACTGAGCTCTGCCAGGCTTCTTGAACTCACCTGATAATCAGACCCTCAATAGAAGGAAAAACAGATCCTGAGTCTTAAGGGAGGGGTGAAGAGGCAGCTGCCGGGAGTCTCTGAACTGCCTGCCACTTGGCCTCTCTAATGAAACCCAAATCTGCACTGTGGTCCCAGGAATAAGAGGCTAATTTAGGTTCAGGCTTCCACAGCCAAATGAAATTCTAGATAAAAGGCCTCAGAGAGAAGAGTCTCTTCCCCTAGCCTGGGCCCCACTGCTGAGTCTACATATTCTAGATCATTTCTCAGTGTTAGTCCCCCCACATCTGCTCCCCACGCCTCCACTATCCCCACCACCACCATCCCCCGATGAAGGTGGCCTCCAGGAATATGAGCCCCTTAGACAGGACCTGACTCTAGAGAGCAGCTGGGGTCGCCACCTGCAATATGCCAGCTCATTCGTGCATTCTGGTTGCTCTGACATTAGGTATGGGCTAGAGGGCTTGGTGCTGTGTAAGTCCAGGGAGCCCATTCCCATTGTAGTCTGTGTCCATCCACTGTGTGAATGGCACCCCAAGGAGTTATGCAACACTGAGCCCTGACTGTGGGAACAAAACATTGAAAACTTTTTCCAGAGAAATAGCTCCTTATCTCCAAGCTAATGAGCTTTCCTGCTTTTTTGGGCCCCTCTCATATCCCATTTGGGCAGAAGTCAGGGAAAGAGGAAACCATGCTGGAAGCAGAGTGAGAGTGGGGTTCCTCCTGGACTGTATCCCCACCTTATTTGGAACAGCTCGCTTACTAGCCCCCTGTGTGGTCAAATCCTGTCTGATTGCTTCTTGCCCTATGCGTCTTCGGAGATAAGCAAAGATTTAAGAGCCAGGTATGACTTGCAGTGTGACCCCAGGCCAGGTACTCAAGGCTTTGTAAGACATCTTTGGGCCATGGGTACGTGGAAGAGATTACAGGACTAGAAGTCACATCCTCCAAGTCTTCTAGTCTTAGCTTTTCCACATGTCGGGTAACTCGGCCTCTTTCAACCTCAAGATGTGCTTTATTATTAAAGATTTTTATTTTTCCTTTTTCTCCCCAAAGCCCCCCAGTACACAGTTGTGTATTTTTAGCTGTGGGTCCTTCTAGTTGTAGCATGTTGGATGCCGCCTCAGTGTGGCCTGATGAGCAGTGCCATGTCCGCGCCCAGGATTCAAACCGGGGAAACCCTGGGCCGCCGCAGCGGAGCGTGGGAACTTAACCACTTGGCCACGGGGCCGACCCCCAAGATGTGCTTTATTATTAAACAAATACTTCAGAGTAGAAATTAATCTTGCCAGAGACTTCTTACTCTATTAGGCCAGCCCTTTCTGGGAGTTAAAGGTTGCTTCTTTTGTTAGGCCCATGAACTGGGAACAAGTGGGCAGGGGAAGGAGACTGTGCGGGTGGGGGCAGGAGCAGCCACACTGCCCCTAACTTGTCCTCCTTCCAGGCCTGAAGACTGGCGGTGGTTCGTCAGGTGGCTCCAGTGGCTCCTTTCACTACACCTTTCATGGGGACCCTCATGCCACCTTCGCCTCCTTCTTTGGTGGCTCCAACCCCTTCGATATCTTCTTTGCCAGCAGCCGCTCCACTCGACCCTTCAGTAGTTTTGACCCAGATGACATGGATGTGGATGAAGATGAGGACCCATTTGGTGCCTTTGGCCGCTTTGGTTTCAATGGGCTAAGTAGGGGTCCAAGGCGAGCCCCAGAACCACTGTACCCTCGGCGCAAGGTGCAGGACCCACCTGTGGTGCATGAGCTGCGGGTGTCCCTGGAGGAGATCTACCACGGCTCCACCAAACGCATGAAGATCACAAGGCGGCGCCTCAATCCTGATGGGCGAACTGTGCGCACCGAGGACAAGATCCTGCATATTGTCATCAAGCGTGGCTGGAAGGAAGGCACCAAGATCACTTTCCCCAAAGAGGGCGATGCCACACCTGACAACATCCCTGCTGACATTGTCTTCGTGCTCAAAGACAAGCCCCACGCACACTTCCGCCGAGATGGCACCAACGTGCTCTACAGTGCCCTGATCAGCCTCAAGGAGGTGGGGCCGGGGTCAGGTTGTGTGTGCATTGGTGGGGGAATGATGGGACATTCTGTCCCCACGTCAGTCTTCTCCGCCTTTCCTAATTACTCTACCCCACCTTTCCTCACTCTCTGCCTCATTCTCCCCAGGCGCTGTGTGGCTGCACCGTGAACATTCCCACCATTGATGGTCGAGTGATCCCTTTGCCCTGCAATGATGTCATCAAGCCAGGCACCGTGAAGAGACTCCGAGGGGAGGGCCTTCCTTTCCCCAAAGTGCCCACCCAACGGGGAGACCTCATTGTCGAGTTCAAAGTTCGCTTCCCAGACAGATTAACGCCACAGACACGACAGATCCTTAAGCAGCACCTACCCTGTTCCTAGGCTCTGCCCCAGCCAGCCCAGAGTCTACCACAGCAATACCCCCCACAGTCACCCCACCCAGTGTGCACCCAGTTTGATGTCCACTGGACACTGGCAACTTTTTCTAAAATGCAAAAAAGCCACTAGTTTTCAGGAAAATGTTCCTGTCCCTGACCCCTTTCAGAGCTGGGCTGCCTTGGGGGAGTGGGAGGGAGGTGGGGAGAGCTAGCCCAGGCCAGGGGTCAATTTTCATGTCACTAGCTTCGAATCCAGTTCCCACTCCACTGACTGGAGAGTGAGCTGAGTGCTACTTGGAGCCAGAGAGCTTCCTTGTCCTTGCTTGTAAATAGCATGTCCTCCTTCCCCTCAGCTTGGCTAATACCTCTCCTCTCCCTTCCCTTTGGCTTCCTCCTGTTGGGGGAGGAAGAGGATAGAAAGGACACTGCTTTCCCACCCTAGCCTCACCCCTACAGCCACAGTGTCCAAGGTTATCACACACATGTTCATGCACACAAAGCATTCACCCAGAGCTGTCTGTGCCTCTCCAGGGTTGAGACAGGAACGAATGGTCCATAACCCATGAACCAGGCCATTGAGCACGAGACACTTTTCATGTGGGGCAGGGAAGCGAGCGGGACCCTGAGCAGCCTCCTCGACAGCTCCCCTGCCAGACCTGCAGAGCTGGAAGTTCTGTCCTCCATGCTGCTCTTAGGAATGTGCGAGGGTGCAGGAGAGGGAAGGGGGCCTGCTGTATTAAAGCTCAGAGGTGGGGGGCAGGGTCCATCTCCTAGCCTTCATCAGGAAGGGAAAAGGCTTTGGGGTCAGGTGGCAGCTATTCCCCACCAAGAGATTCAGGGTCACAGGTTTCTCCCCACACCTCTGAACTCAGGGCCTAGCCACCCCCAAACTTCAAATCCCATTTTTGTGATATGTGAAGCTACTTATTTCTTACCCTTCATGGAGGCTGTGTGGGGACTTTCCAGCCCTTTGATGCCTGTGTGACCCCACCCCGCTCCCACAGTTATATAAAAGTCAAATAGTGAAGGAGCTAGGGGAAGACTGCTTCAGCCAGGTTCTGGGGTGGGGTCTTGAGGTTTTCTCACTTTGACAAGCCCCTGAATGTTTTTATAGTAGTTTTTTTTGTATTTTTTTGTAATGACAGTATTATGGAAAAAAATAAAGTATTTTAAAAATACAGCATCTAAGCAGGAACAATGAACCTGGGATGGGGGTGGGTGCGCAGTGCCACTGGCAACCTCCCTTCAGGGCCCTGGCCACCTTTGAGAAGCCCAAACAGGCCCTCAATATAAGCTGAAGCTGACTCCTTCCTTCCTCTAAGCCCAGACTCCTGAGGTTTCCAAAATGTATGCATCAAACAGCAAAGACGGAAGACACCACTCAGCTATTAGAAGAAACATCTATTTGGAAAGACTGTCCTTGGTTATGGGAAATAGAGACTATCCTCTTTGAAGGATGTGTTAGCATGAGAACTAATAGACTTTACATGGACTGGAATTTTCCTTTGAGAGAAATTGTCCTCCTAGGAGAGGATAGGGGAGGACTTTCTGGCTGACTAGAAGAGACACATCCCCAAAGACAAAACCTGGGGCAGTGGAGAGGGTGGCTGGAGGTTCCTGGCATCCTTGGCCCATGCTGGCAGGGCCTGGCTGGGGACACAGGCTCCCTGGGAGACAACACCATTGCTGATCCTTGAATCTCACAATTTTCTGGGGAGGTCTGTCCTGGTCTCGGAGCTACCTGTGCCTGCTGAGACAACTCTGGTCCTAAGGGTCTGCGTGCTGACTGCATGATGCACTTGTTACTTTCCTTGGATCTGGGTAGGGAGGAGCCCTCTAGTCACAGGAATGGCCATCTGCAGGCTCTGTCTGGGTGTAGACTTCCTTCTGGTGCTGACTTTCCTCCCCAGAGTCTTCTCCAGGATCGTGCCCATCACAGCCATGCTCTCCTGAGCTTCAGCATCTCCAGTGCCATGACGACAGCTCCCCTGGGCCTAGGCTCCACACAGAGGCTAACACTGGCTAGGCTTATAACAGGGACCTTCCTGTCCTTGCCTTTTTTCCTGGGACAACTCCAGTGAAGAAAGCTCCTCATCCTTTTAGCCAAGATACTTTTGGGAGGAGCCTACTCCTTCCAGTGCAGAAACCAAGGGGTCTTGCTCAGAAGGGTATCTGCTAGTCCCTTGGGCTGGGCAGGAAGGTCCCCAATCCTGCATCTCCTACTCGATGCTCTCCTGTTTCAGGTCTCCTAGACTTGTCCCTCTCTTCACTTGGGGCTAAATTCTTGTCCTGGCTCTTCCCTGAGACCTGAAGCTTTGGGATCCAGGTCTGCTGGGCCAGACTGCTCCCTCTGGCCTCCATGTGGGGACACTGGACCTAGAAAACTGTCATGTCCCCACTGAGCACTCGGAATGGGACTCAGACCTTAGAAGCCAGGCTATCTGAGGACAGGGGCACTTCAATGAGAAAGCTCTGAAGCTGGCTCTGCAGCTCTACCTTCTTGGAGGTTGCATGGGGGGTTATGGTCCTTTAATACCTGTGTAACCCTACATGCACACACATATACACACGGCTATAGAAAAGTCAAGATAGTAAAGGAGCTGGAAGAAACACTGGTTCAGCCATGTCTTGGGGAACAGGGTCTTTATTGGGTTTTCTCTCTTTGACAAGCACCTAAGTTCTTTTACAGTAGTGTGTGTGTGTGTGTGTGTGTGTGTGTGTAATTTTGCAAATGACAGTACTACGAAAATCACTAGCTCATTTGTATGACAGTAATATGTTCTTTAAGGCTTGGCCATCCCAAATCTTGGGCAACCAGCACTTGGTGGTGGGGGCATGCCTTGGTCACTGGAGCCCCTTGACCACTCCAGTAGCCCTTTAGCTTCTGGGCATCTTCCAGCTCACTGACTCTCAGAACATTTTCCAATTGTGGGCTTAGGAGCTGGAGTCTTCTTGGACTTCACTCTCTCCCTGGACTCTTTGGCCGGTAAAGGAATCTCCAACATCTTTTTCCTAAAGTGGAAACTCCAAGAAGATGTTCCCCTCTTGGGATCCAGGTCTGCTGTGGTGATCCCCTCCAGACATTCTCTCTATTCCCTGCCTCTGGGGCACTGCTCCTGCATGGCTGGATTCTGTCGGGATACAACTCTACTTTCATCCCTTGGGTCATATCCTGCCAGTGTTTCACTTGGAGTGACTCTGGACTGCCTCTCTTGACCCCAATACCGTCCCATTCTGCCTTGATTTGTCCATGATGATGGGTGTGAGAAGCCAAAAAGTTTATCTGTTCTTCTCAGGCTAAAGGTCCTGTGTGAACCGTGACCAACATCTCAGGGCCGTCTGTGCTTCCTTGCTCACAGCTGAGGGGACAGGAAGAGGACTATACAGAATGTTGACTTAGTTTTTTGTGACTGGCTTGTCTTTCAACCTGCCTAAGGGTTTCCTTCAAAGAGCTAAGCAATCTCAGCTTAGCCATCCATGAAACATGGGTGGCTAAGAGAGAAAGGGCCCTGGGGAAGGGGCCATGATTGGGTCTCTGTCAACTTGATAGTTTTATGGATTCAAGGACTTTGAGAGGTAAGCTCTACCTCTGCCACAACCAAAACCATATAATCTGGGCTTCCTAGTGCTTGTCTAATGCCTATATCAAAGAAAGAAAGCTTCTAAAAGGTATTCAGGCAATGTTCCTGATTCACTGAGGGTACCAAATTTCTGGTTTCCAAGTGGCTATAGGACTTCCCAGGAGGGGGCAATATATAGTTGCAGCAAGCCATGAACAATACACATCTGCAGGGATCCCTCTGTGATAGACCTGCCTCAGCTTATTGCCAAAGTAAACCTTCAAGGCATTTTCTAATTGCTTCCAGTCTAGGTTTTTTATTAACACATTGATAAGCCATTTCCCAAGCCAAACAAATCATTTTTTATCTCCTCTGCAGAATCAGCCCCTAAAACCTTCACTGGGTAACTTTCTGAAATCCTTAATAGGTTACATTTGGGGCCTTTCTCAGACTATGCCTCAGACACTTCCTTAAGTCATTCTCTTACTGAAATGTTGCTGGGCCCCTCACATGGAAACTTCTGGGTGCCACAATCCAATCTTTTTTAGATCCTTGTTGCTTTGGCCCATAAACACAGAGGGCTGTGAAAGCCTATGGCTGATTGTTCCTTAGCTGAGACTTGTCTGTTAGTTGCCCTGAGGTTGCATCAGTTCCAGAGACTCTTGGATCCTGTAGGCCAGGACACATCAGTGTTACATGAGATTCTTTCAAAGGTGGTGCTCTAGTTGGTTCCAAATATTATTGCTTATAGAAAATTCTCTAGAAAGAATGGAGACTGGCACATAGGCCTGGCAGGACAGGCTGTACTGATAAAGGTTAAAAACCATAAATTTTCAATCTGCTTCTGCAACAGGTGTTAAATTTCAGTTGAAGTGGGAGATTGTACCTCATGCTGGGTCCTAGGAAGAGATACTCCAGAGGCCCTAATCCGGGGTGAAAAAGAAGGTAGTAGGAGTGGGAACAAGGATTGAAGGTGGGCCTGAGGTAGGGGCTGGGAATGAAACAGAGTTCAAGATTGGGGAAACAGTGGGGAATCTAACTTGCATTTGAACTGGGGGGTGAAGGAATGGATATTAGAGAATCCACTGAATAAAACAAATGGAGACTCCAGTAGGGAGTAACCACCAGAAACCAGGACAGTAGCCACAAGGGACTTACTGTGAAAAGAGGGGAGGCCCTAGAAGAGCTGGCTCCACTTACGCTGCAACTGGTCCCCCTAGGTTTGGTGATATGGGAGCTGCCGAAGACTGTACAGTTGCTCTGGTTTGTCGTCAGTGCTCCACAATGGTTGGGAGCATATCAGCAAGTGACTCCAAAATAGTCCCAGAAGAATATGTATATGTATATACATGCCCTCCACAAAGATTGGGAGACTCATTAGTTCCAGTGATTTAATGAAACCTCTGTTCAGTAATTAACCAACCACTAAGCTAACCAAGCAGAGACTTCAGTGGCCACAAACAACAAAGAATATAGACTTTACAGATTTAGTTCAGAAAAGTAATTATGCAACAACAACAAACTCTGGAGAAAGTAAGATTTCTAGAGTTGCCACATTATATTATTTAAAATGTCCAATTTTCAACAAAAACTACAAAACATGCAAAGAAACAAAAAAGTGTGGCCCGTATACATACACAAGGGGGGGAAGCAATCAATAAAAAGTGACCCTGAGGAAGCCCAGACATTGGACTTACTAGACAAAGACTTTAAATCAGCTATGTATGTGCAATGTAAAGAAAACTGTCTTAAAAAGCTAATGGAAAGTATGAAAATGACAGCTCACCAAATAGATAATACCAATAGGAAATAGAAATTACTTTTTAAAATATAACCAAATGGAAACTTGGAGTTGAAAAGTCCAATAACTGAAATAAAAATTTCAATAGGAGCTCAAGAGCAGGTCTGAGCAGGTGGAAGAAAAATCAGCAAATTTGAAGATAAGTCAATTGAGATTATCCAATGCAAGGAACAGAAAGAAAAAATAATAAAGAAAAATGGACAGAGCCTAGGAGACACCTAGCCTGTGGGACGCCATCAAGCATAACAATAACAGATAATGGGAATCCCAGAAAGAAAGAAGAGAGAACAGAGCAGAAATAATATCTGGAGAAATAATGGCCAAAAACTTCCAAAGTTGTCTACACATCCAGGAAGCTCAACAAATTCCAAGTAGGATAAACACAAAGAGATCCATACTTTGACACATCATAATCAAACTGTCAAAAGACAACACAAAGACAGAATCTTGAAAGAGGCAAGAGAAAAGTGACTCATCATCTATAAGGGATCCTCAATAAGATTAACAGCTGATTTCTTATCAGAAGCCATGAAGGCCAGAAGGCATTGGATGACATACTCAAAGTTCTGAAAGAAAAATTCTATACTCATCAAAACTATGTAACAAAAATGAAAGAGAAATCAAGACATGACAAACAAAAACTGAGAATCCATTGCTAGCAAATCTTCCATAAAAAAAATACTAATGGGGGGCCAGCCCCATGGCCAAGTGGTTAAATTTCCATGCACTTGGGGCTGGCCCCATGGCCAAGTGGTTAAGTTCACATGCTCCACTTCAGCATCCCAGGGTTTTGCCAGTTCAGATCCTGGGTGAGGACAT